CCCCCAACCAAAAACAAATAGCAAGAAAGAAAAGATAGGCAGGTTATGATGCTAATACAAGATGATCATATGGAAAGTCATGCAAAGTCATGCATATGGAAAGTCAGGTTATGAGACAACTATAAGGAAATAAAGAAGATCATATGGATTTTTTACCGTGTCACCATCTTGCACATACCATCTTAGTCTATTAACCACCTGCATATGGAAAGTCATGCAATAACTCAGCCTCTAATTTGCATAAAACACATAACTAAGCCTGATTCCATTAATCAGTACAAGCAACAAAGAGTAGTGGGACAGAATATAATGTTTTGTCCAGCAAGTGCAAGAGACATAATCATGAATAATATTCTATTACAACATTCCAAAAGATTATCTTGACTTTTTTAGCCAAACAAGAGAAAGCATTTGAAATCTCTTATTTTTTTTGGGTGACGGTAGTGTTCGGGCCAGCTTGCGCACCTCTAATATTCCGCCAGGTGCCCGCTACCTCCCAACATCACAGGTACCTAGTAATTCTCCCAACCAAGGCTTGGACACATGCGAAGAATCACCTAGTCTTTTTATTAGTGTCGAAAATGTTTACTGTTGTAACTTTTACATCGTATGCCAAAATTATACTGCTCTAATTATTTTCAAGACGCACTCCTGGTGAACCTTGTTAGAGAACTGAAAACATGCATACGAAATTCCAGGGTATTCATCTGTTCCGTAATGTAGAATGTTTCTGGAGTAAGATTTAACGTCACATTGATTAGAAAAGCTGTGAAGATGGAAGACAGGGTTTACTAGTACACTGGCTTTATCGAGTAAGTTTTAAAGTTGCATCGATTAGAAAAATTATGAAGATGGAAGACAGAGTCTAGTTTACTAGTACAATGCAGCTTTATTATCACTTCCATTGAGATATAAGATCCGATAAAAAATGTAAAAGAAGTGCATACCTCCTTCAGTTTGTCCACCTTCGTGAAGTGGCGACCGAAAGATATATAGCGCATGCCATTAAGAAAAGGGGCAAGATAAGATCCTAGCTTCCTCTGTAACATACAAGACAGAAAATGAAATATTTGCAAATCATTCAGCAAATCGTCCATAAAAAACAACCACGAAATGCCCCATCAACCATATCTCACTGTAAGAATAGGTTATTGACACTAAGATTTACATCTTCCTTTAATAATTTTCAAGATCATTATTTCTCCTTATACATGAGTTATTGAGAACATCAAGGTGAACCAAATAAGCATTTTCCCCCAAAAAAAAAAATTACATTTCCACTCTAACACAAAAGCAATGGTGCCAATTCTCCAAATGCTGACACACAATAAGAATCTACATTTTCACACCAATAAGAATGTGGAACTCGTAAAAAAATTAACAATATTCATGGAAATAAAAAACTTTAATTGCTGTGATGCATAACTTATTGTGATGCAACGCGTGGAAGTTCAGGGACTACCTTTAAGTACAGAATTATTTGTCTAGTCTTAAGAAAGAAACGATCCAGAGAAACCTAAAAAGTGCATAAGAAAGAATAGCTAGGGATTCTTTTCCACGAGCTAATAGAGGATATAGTTTTCAAGCACGCATCGATGCAGCAACTTCCAGCAGCTGAGGCAGATTTTGTTTTGATCTTTAGACTAGGTAGCAGCTAGACCATCAAAGGGAGTTATATTCTCTGCACAAAATAATTCATGTTCCAATGGAGTCAGTTAACCAGTAGCTATGACAAGCATCTTGTTTAATCACATTTGGGAACTTGTCAAAGTGCATCAGAATTCTATTGGTGCAACTACTAGAATCAATATTCTAATATACTCCTACAACTAGATCACCACCATCCAGTCCAAGCAATTCGAGAGAGAACTAGGGGTTGTTACACTTTTTGTCGGGCTTGATTTAAAACCTAGAAGCTCTTTCCCTATCCTTTCTTTCGGTTCCAAGTATCTCTGATATGCCTTATCAACACTCCTCTTTCTTTCAGATTTGTTGTACATAACATGCACTCCATATGTATGACCCACCAAGGGGAACATACTTCACCACACAGCATAAAACATTCGAGCAAGAAACTTGTCAACAAATTAAATCAGAAAATAATACATCAAGTCAGGAGCAAGAATATAGAAAGCCTGTGTTCATGTGTAAGAACATTTTTAGGTCCTATGGAGCAACCTTCCATCTGAAAATCTGAGTGAGAATTTCTGGTTCACAGACAGCTTTCGCATCTTCAATGCTGTGTCCTTCTTCTAGCTTCTTCAACGCTATTCCAATAGCCTGGTCCAGAACATAAAGAGGACAGATTTTCTATAAGAGGAGACTGCAGAAGAAATTAGAAGAAAAATTTAAAATTCATGAGTACATTCTCTTCAATGCTGAACTAGTAGATATACCTTCACGGAACACTGAACTTTTCCCAANATACCTCTTTCGCCATTAGTATATTTGATCAAAGCATTCAAAATCAAGACAGTAGGAATAAGGAAAACCTTGGTAAGCATCTGCGATGATATGCCTTTGGACAGCGTCTACAAATTGCAAATTGCATCTCAATTGTCTTTTTATCCTCTCCTTTCTTGCAGACAAAACATTTATGAGCAGGGCAAGTAAATGATTCTCCAGCTACAATTTGCTTCTGCAGCTCTAAGGCTCGACATTCATCACCAGGGAAAAGTAACACTGAGACGCATTTAGGATGAAAGAAGTGTCCACAAGTTGCAGAAACGCAAGGGAAGACCTTCGGGACATTGTGCAAATAAAATATAGGTGAGAAAATTGTATATAAAAATAGTATAAACAGTGATATGAAGAGATAGCAGATACGTAGAAGAAATATTTATCAGTATCTCCAGTATTATGCAATTTCCAGTTCGTTCATATTCTGGGAATCAGAAATGCCTCTGGTTTACACTGCAGAAACTCCAGCCCCTTTCTGAGGCTCTTCATTTGAGCAAAATGCAAAACAGACGGGTAAAAGATTATGTTCTTGTTTCCTTGAGTATGTTCCGTGACAGGAAAAACAAATGGAATATAAACTTATGCAAGTTATTAGCTATGTTGGTAAGGAAATCTTCCTAGTTGCAGGAAATTGGAGCTAAGCCACAAATTCAAAGACCAAGAGGATTAAACATTTCCTATTATATGATAAAAATTACTTGCAATTTTTCAGAAGGTAGTAAGTAGAAAACGAACGTATATTTGAGAATGTGATATGTCAACGGTCAACTCGCTTTAAT